TTGATCTGTAAAAAATATTCCACCGGTATAAAAATCTCTCGAAAAATCTTTAAAAAGGTTAGAATGAGCATTTGTGTGTTTTTAATTTAGTCTAATTTAACCGTAAAACAAGATAAATGAAAAATCTAAAAAAATATTACTTAAACATTTTTTGCTTACGGACGCTACATAAAAGTTTAATTTAAAAAAAAGATAGATTCTTGACATATCTAAAAAAGCTTAATATACTGACAAGAGGCAAAATGTGTGTTTTTAAAAATAAATAATTTAGTCAAAAATTATTTATCTTCATTAAGAAATATTAAGTATTACATCTTTTTGATGACGGACGTTACAACATAAAATAAATAAAGTTAATAAAAAAATACTACTTACTCATTTTGATTTACAAAATCGTCACCAAACAATCTGATAATTAATATTTTAATGAAATAAAATAATGATAGTTGTATAATAAATGACATAATAACTGAACAATTTTACCTGCTAAATAACTTATGTTTTGATACATTTTGTTAGGATGCGTTCGCATTAAGTAAAATATTGTTTTAAGGGCCTAATAATGGAAAATATATTATTTTTATATTAGATATGTAAAATTTAGACTACGTACACAATATCTCATATTAAAGGTATTGCATATAAACAATTTTAAATTGTGCTCCTTAGTTTCAAATTCTCTGGAATGGCTGTGCAGTTGAATAGCCAACCCGACCTCCAGACCTTACACCGTTGGATTTTTTGAGGGGTTGCCTTAAATAAAGTTTAAATTACCAAACCAAATAATATTATACCTTAAAGAGAGTAACCGATACGAAACTTGTTTAATCATCAGAAATGTTTGCCCCCTAGTAACGGCACTGATCATCGAATGATCACGAAGCATGAAGGATAATTTTAAATTGATACGGGGGAAATCACTTATTTTAAAAGGCACGTCCTTCAGACGCCTCCCATAAAATAAAAACATGGGGGGATGAGTTCGATGACAAAGACCGATACACACTTTATGGCCCCTTATCGGCCCTCATGCATAAAATTCTTCGGTCGAATTTGCACGTCGATCCCTACGATTTGTTTAAAAACAAATCGCCCCCCGAATTTATTTCCCCGAGTAAAACAAACAATTTGTACCTGTTGCGAGTGAGTGAAAAATTTATACGAATTCGCGTCATTATACTATTAAGGCTCTCTGCCATTTCTTATCAAAATAATAAATTAAGCCAGCTAATATAGAACTAGATTCATATACAGACTGTATAGAATCAAGTAAGTAAGTCTGGAGACAAGGATGACAAATTATATTCTGATCAGAGAAAAAGAAACAAACTTTAATTGGGCGTGGGTTGTTTTAAATCAGAAGAGAACGATTATAATTATTTAATAAATAGTTCAATTTTATTTGTTTGAAACTTTAAAAATATCAAAAAAATTAATAATATGTCAAAAATAATTTGATTTAGTTAATTTTCTTACTTTTAATATTAAAAAATAAGAAAAACAACCCTTTTAGGAAACAATAATAGCATATGGCAACAGCGCGGCATGCAGCCAGATACAAGGGCATGAAGTTTGATCTACTGTGTTTGTTCAGTAGCTTCAATGCTGTCGTAGGGAAATGTGTATAGTTTTTAAGAAATACATTTTCGCCATTAACTGGAATTTAATGGATTTTAAACAGTACTTGGTTTTTATTTGCAGAAATGCATTAAAACAAAACAAACGAATTCGATAAAAATAAAACCTATAAATTCTCAAACAAAAATAATTCTAAAATAACGAAAATAAGTTTTTTTCTTAATTAAATGTTCAAATAGACCACCAGCAGCAGTTAAACAATATCCTGTATTAAAGATTCAATCCCTACCACAGTGGGCGGGGTTTGGCAATTGTTTTATTTAAGTGTATCTATTCGTTTTAATACACACTGTATACAAATTTAAAAAAACAAAAATTAATAAAAAAAATTTCAATTAAATATAAAAATATTTTTAATGTCTTAATTAAGGTTGAAAGTTAGTATCATACTCTATAACCCTATATATATGTCCCCATCATATTGAAATAGTGAAAACTTGGATATATTTCATAGGTTTTGTATGAAACAGAATTCTAAAACTTAAATGAAATAACAAATAAGTAGGTCCTCAGAAGAATGTGATAAAATGTCTGAGAATAATTTTTTAGGCCTTATATTTAATGTATACTTCGTCCCAAGCCACCTAAATAAAAACAGCTTTGTTCCAAAGTACACAGGAGTTTAGCATTACATATAAAAATAACTCATGTAGTCGCAATGATATCGCTATTGATATTTTGCGCGTTACAAACAATCAGCCTGTGTTTTTTAAGGTTATCTTTCGTCACGGCATTTCCCCGGTAAGTATTTGCAGTATTTAATTTTCTTTTTCCTGTTAAGTAAACCAATTTCTTTCTTTTTAATTTATGCAATGTTTTATGTGCATTTATTGTGTCACCTGGAAAATAGATTTTTTTATTGTAAAAAATACTACATTAAATCTTAAAAATAAGAGACTTTTTGCTGAGAGTTTGCCTAAATAATAGTCACAATGGATATGAAAATGTGAAATATTTATTTTTTAGAGGCAAATAGGGCTAAGAAGTATAATGATAAATTTATTATTATATTATTATTAATAATTATAAATTAGGATTTATTATTTATATTATTATTAATTATATTTAACTTTTTAATTAATTTAAAATTTTAAAAATATTACAAAGATGCATAATAAATTTAAAAATTATAAAATCAATGAAAAAAATGTCAATATTAGGATAAAGATTGATAGTTCACCTTTAACTCAGAATATTTCTGCCAAACAATCTGTACATTTATTAAAATAAACACTTCTTAAACATTTATATGGGACCCCCAAATTTACCTATGTAGGTAATTAATATCAACAACTATAATGTTGTTTTTTAATTAGGGAAACAAATCCCATACACGAAAGCTGCTTCCCCTAAAATTTCCTGGATTTAATAGCCCTAGGACATAACCTAAGCAAACACCCTATTTTGCCATACTAATCATATTGTGCATTAATATTAAAACTTAAATTATCTACCTAGAATCTCGATTAACAAATTAAATATTATGAAATACTTTTCTTCAAACATGTTAATACCTTTACTCAATGTTAATACAGTACAAAGATAAAAAATCACTCACCCCCATTTTTTTTTTAAAACGGGTAGGTTAATCTCTTAAAATGAAATAGTCAAAATTCTACTATTTGAATTAGTAACAGCATTGTTTACTACACTGTTATAAAAAATCAAATTTGTAAACATAAGTTTGTAGTTTTTTAATTTTATTTTGTAAAATTACCTACTCGTATATAAGGAGTGTGCAAAGTGCCCGATAAAAGATGCCATCACTGGTTTTTAAACTGAAATTAGGAGACAGTTAAGTGGGTTAAAGTTACGAAATACATCAGTAAATGTTGTAGTAGAACTAATAATTATATTGTACCAAATTTTTTTAAAGTTTGATGATTTTAGAATGGTATGTTATTTAATTGTGTGTATGTTATTTTTGAGTTCATTTAAGTTCCCAATTTCCAACAAATACTTTTCTTTAGTTATTTAGTTCAAAAAAGATATTGTTAAAAATATTTATAGACAGATATAACTGATTTTTATATAAGTAGCAGTGGCAATGACTTATACGTAATTAGTCATTTTTAACTAATTCATTTTAAGGGAGTATACTATACTATAGTATACCTATAGGTACCAGGATCACATCCAGAATAATTCTCGATTCCTCCCTTACTTGTGTTAAAAAAGCATATCATAAAAATTAATTACAAATGACAGGTTAATATCTTTGAATTATTAGTTGGCTACAAGCATGAAACGTATACTATAATATACCTACCTAATATGTGAAAATGTCGTGCCGTATCCAAGGTTAAAGATTGATCTCTGTTTAACATGAGCAAAATAATTAAATAAAATGCATTTCCCCTTCGTTCGCATTTAGGGGTGGAAATAACAATAATTAGCCTTCTAACGACTAAAGGGGCGGGCACAAACTTTATAATTTACTTCGTTTAGACATTGAAAATGTTGTACTTCGTGATAAAATTGAATTTAATTAGTTCGAGAGAGATGAGCAATAGTTAATTATAATGAAATCGCTGTTATAATGTCATTAGACACGGTTTCTTAGCAAGTCGTATTTAATTTTGTCTTTGCACTTTGAAGGTTTATTACGTTCCATATTAGTCCCAGTATATTTTCAATCCAGCTGGCTTGCTGTCCAACTTTGCCAAAATGCCATTTAGTTGAATGTAGTTTTTTCAAGATTTGATATTTCACTCACTATTGTTTTAAATGGTGATGATTTGAAATCTTTTCGCATTACTGTAAACCATTGTTGAATGAAATGAAATGAAACTAAACTAACTTTTATTAAATCCTATACATATTATAACGTGACATTGAAAAATCAATGAAGTTTTTTTTCTCGTACCTATACACTTACACAGTAAAAAAATCAACTCTAAGCAACACTAATTAAAGTTTACCCATGTTTACACTAAATAGTGTTGTTTTATAACACTACAATTAGAGTTCATTTGTAGTGTAATTTTCCCCAAGTAAACAAGTATGATTTAACACTATAGCACAGAGGATAAAGTAATTTTACACTGTATTAAAAAGTGTTAATTTACCTAAAATAGTGTACTTCTACACTCCCTGGGTAAAATCCCACTTTTGTTCAGGAGAAAGAACACAAAATGTATAAACAAATAGGTATTAAAAAGGATTTAAAAGAGGAATTTCCCAAAAACCTGACGTAATGAAGAAACTCGTAGAATCGTAGAAACGTTATTTTAAATCAGAAATAATTATTTAATCTTTTGATAAAACCGTAATATCTTATCTATAAAAAATAAAAAAGCCATATTAAAATTATCTTAATACAGTGTGATTACAATCATTTATAATTTATTAACAGTAGTACTTAATCACACACCCAGGTGTTTACTTTATAATTACCCAAACAAAAATGAAAGTAACACTTATCCTTTTATTGATAATAAAAATTAACGCGTTTCCAAAAAAAGAAGATCTCTTCAAACTTCACGTTGTACACCTGAACGACTTTCATTCTAGGTAAGCAACGAATTATTAATTAAAATTGACTCAAAACTAACTACAGGTGTTTAAGATTTGATGAAGTGAATCTTAAGGGCCGAGAGTGCACAAAAAATGATACTTGTGTGGGAGGCTACTCAAGATTATACAAACAAATCATGAGTTTGAAGGAGAAAGACCCCAATATATTGTTGCTGAATGCTGGGGATAATTTTCAGGGCTCGATGTGGTACAGCGTTTACAAGTGGGATGTTATAAGGCATTTTATGGAAAAATTTCAGTTTGACGCATACGTAAGTTTGGTTCAGTAATAATGCAAAATGTGCTGTTAACTGCTAAATCTACCATTTATCAGTGGCGGCTCGTCAGGGTAGGCCTCTGAGGCCGCGCCTCACCCTTAAAATGAAGGAACGAACGACTTTTTGTATTTAAATTTTTGCCTATTACAAGTGTAATTTTAAAACAGTTCTACCCAATAAAAAGTAAAAAACCAATCAATCATACTAAGCGTAAATAAAAATCCAGGCGCAAAGCGCGTCAAGGTAACGTGCATCGTTGAGTCGCTAGACAAAGGCGAAATTTTCACAGCCTCGGAAGCTCCCATTTACATCTAGAAAGCGAAACTGACACCAACAACAATATCGCCGGAAGTTCGCGAATAACTACCGTAGATCCAGTCGTAGATGAGGCGAAATGTAGTTAGCTTGGCTTGTTGTGATTGGTGGTTATATCCGTCTATGATGGGATGCCAGTGTTCTCTTAGCGTTTGTAGAGTACGTTATTGTTTTGATTCTGATTAAATTATTTAAAACTTTTGGCTGATCTTTTATAGTTTTTGTTTCGATTAGTAAAATTAGTAAAATTTCTTATTTAATTATTATTTATTTATTTATTATTAAAGGTAGATTTAACAGTTTTTATTAAGCAAATTTTATATTTTGAAATAATAGATTGCATAATTCTTTAATTAGAGACGCGGTTTGAAAATTTAGAATTACTTTTAAATCTCACTGCAGACCCACAATTTTACGACCAAATAATAGATAAATTTGCAAACTTAGACGTATAGATTTAATTTACAAAAAGTAGCTATAGTATTTTATCTACTCCTACATTGACGAGCTGTAACTTTATGGCGTTTTATTGACAGGCTGAAGTTAACGACAGTGGCTTTTCGACATTTTACGTCACGGGCTGAAGTTAGCTTTATTATAAATTGGGAAAAAGTGAGGTTAAATTCGGGTGACAGTTGACAGATGTCAAAATTTTAACAAATAAAATTGGCTTTAAATTCTGTTTTGTGTTCGTCGTAGATAAAGTATAGTATGCAACTCGTTTATAAACTTCTCTAGGCACTCGTTTTTATTAAACACTCGCTCGCAAGCTTCGCTCGTGCTTAATTAAACTCGGAACTAAAATGGCGTTTATAAAACTTGATACATAATATACTATTATATTTTTTAATACTTAGGTAGGGGTCGACTTTTTAGTTTTATTTTTATTTTTTGATTAATTTATTTATTTTTAACTTTTTTAAGAATATATTTTTAAGTTTTAAGATTAAAAGTAGTCTTTGATGTGATATTTTGTTTGTTTTGTTTTTTAGACTTTATTTTTTATTTATAATGGTTTAGTAGGGCTTTGGGCGATGACCTCCATTTTAAAAAAGGTCAACGCGTCGCAGAATAATACCTTCCGGGTGACGTGGAAATTTATTTGTATTTAGACAAAATTAACCTTATGTAGCCTCACCCTCCTGTACACCCACGAGCCGCCACTGCCATTTATATAATTATAAGCTAAGGTTGACTTAATCGTAAACAGACACAGTTTACTAAACCGTGGACCGTACCGTTTAAACTAATTTATACAAACTAGAGTTGGGTACCGGTTAGAGATGCGACTTTTTTTTTCATTGTTTTTTTTAATGTTTTTTTTTCATATTTTAGGTTTTTTTTTAAATTAGTCCCTTTTGCCTAATTTTTTCCAGTCCAGTTCATGGACTAAACTTAGCCACTAAATAACATTTAGTAAATGTAAATACAGTCTCGCGCTATGCACGCGCCACCACCACCGAATTGACCAATAAGGGCCGCGCTTGTTTTGATTTGGTCCTAAAAAAGTAACTACCTATAATATTTTTGATTCAGCGCTGATTTTTCATAAAGCTACCAAAAGCACTTTTTTCATGATTTTTCAAATACATGTAGAGTGTGAAAATTTTTTTCAAAAAAAAAATAGAAAATTCTTGTTGAACATTTATTCATTGGTGGTTAAGTCAAAACATTTTTTGAACTAAAAAAGAAAATTTCGATTTTTTTTTATTACGGTATTCGTTAGGATTGAGCGTTGCACGTTTTTCATATAAAAATCTCAAAACTAGAAACTTCAAGCTTCAAATTGCCTTTTTACGGCTCCAATACGACCATTTTTATCGAAAATAATAATTATCATAGCAAAACCGACAATCTCCACTTTTGGTCAAAAATTAGATTCTTGACGGAGACTATTATAGTATAATACTTCAACTAATTATCTATAAGATGATAAAGTTTATGTGCTGCAAAAGAAGCTAAATCCTGTCTAAAATCCTATTTTAAAAATGACACTTAAGGCAAAGTTGACAATCTCCACTGATAGATTTGCAGCAAAGTATACAATCTCAATTTGTGCCACCTGATATCCTAACATTTGATGTTATAACGTATTTTAAAGATTTAATTTTGTGTTTTTTTACTGGTACATACTGTTAAGTTCTATTGCAGTAAATTGCACTTAAAAAATATATTTAAAATAGGTAAATCTACGTTTTATTGTTTTAAGAATTATAAAAAAAGTTATCTTGTTTATTTTGTGCTATTATACCATAATAAGACGAAAAGGTAAAGCAAGAAAAGGCTGATAATGTCAAAACATTGCAAGTAAAACATTACGGGGCAAAGTGGGAAGGAGATGATGAGTTGTTGTACTACAAAAATTTTTTTGCACGAGGCCACCTGGTCCCAGATTTAGAAGAAACTCCAGATTTATGTGGTCCAGTTCAGAATTTTCCCACATTGATTGTATAGTTAAACTTTATAACCATTAAAGGGAGAAAAATACAATTATTTTTTTGTTTACTTTTCTAAATCTCCTTAAACGTTTACAACAAAATGAGCAATCTCCAGCAATTCATATCAAAGTCAGCAATCTCCAATTTATAATTATAGATTTCACCTATACTATGCATCCTGGAGACCTTGTAGTTGGCTACTACACTAACAACAACAATATTTCAATATAATATATAAAAAAATTACAAATCTAGAATTTAAAATACCAAAATCAATTATCTCAATTTACTCAGTTTTAGTCTGACGGGAGATTGTTGACTTTGCTCTGACAGGTCTCAATTAATTAATTTTTTCTATTAGTATAAAAGTTTTACATTGCTATTGGTTTCTTACGTGGAAACTACCAAATAATAAGAAATCAGATTTGTTAGTCTCGGTCAAAATTATCTATAGTGAAAAATGTGATATATTCTACATAAATTTTACTCAAAATTTAATTTTGAAAAATTTCTCCATTTTTTAAGATTGATGTTATTTATTGACTGAATATGCATTATTGTAGTGGATTTGAAAAAAAAACAAAAAAAAAACGTTTTTTTTTCTAGTTTTTTTTCATGTTTTTCTTACATCTGAAAAAAAAACCGTTTTTTTACATCTCTAGTACCGGTCCGTAATTACTATTAAAAGATTTATTTCTATTCTTATAGATGTATAAACTTTCATAACTATCTAGCAGACTTGGTTCCCTAACTTCCTTAATACGTTTAAGGTTGTCAAATCCTATTCTATGACCATCATCAAGTTTATGTTGGGCAGCACTCGATTTCTCTTTGAACCTTACTTGAATGGATCGTTTAGTTTATCCAACATATTTCTTGTCAAAACCATGACGTAAATCCCTAAAGTTGAAAACACTTTGTGTTTTGTTTTGGTGTTGGGGATTATTTCTAATATTTGTTTATCATGAAACCTTCAGTAAACATTTTTATCTCATCATCAACATACGCAATAACTAATCCTTTTTAAATATTCCACACGCAAATATTTTTAGACTTTGGGAAATCACGAGTTTGACGATAACATTGAAGGAATTGTTCCATTCATAAAATCCATAAACGCGCCAGTAGTACTGTCAAATGTGGACGACACTGAAGAACCAACCTTCCAAAACACGTACACTAAAAGCACGGTAGTCGCAAAAAATGGAAAGAAAATTGGGATAATAGGAGCTCTAACTAAAGAAGCCAACGAAATTTGCCACGCCGGAAAATTGGTTTTCCTCGATGAATCCGAGAGTATAAATAAGGAAGCTGAAAGATTGGTTAAAGAGGAAGATGTGTTTACTAATATTGTTCTGTCACACTGTGGCTATGATGTTGATAAAGAGGTAGCCAAGAAAGCTACTGGAAAAATTGGTTTGATAGTGGGTGGACACAGCCATACATACTTGGGAGGTATACCTACCAAAAGTTTTGTATGTAGGTAAAATAAGATGTGTATATGTTGTAGATGATACAACTTTTAAACCTAAAGGCCCTTATCCAACAGTGGTACAAAGAAGTTCCGATGGTGGTAATGTCTTGATAGTCCAGGCTTCATCTTTCTCCAGACATCTAGGGAACATAACAGTCTATTACAATAACCTTGGAGACATTGTGGAATGGGATGGTGCACCAATATTTCTAAGCCATGATTTACCACAAGGTACTTTCTTATATGATTATTAACATTTTTTAAAGATTTTTTTAGATGAAGAAATAAACAAGGAAATGTCAATATGGAATGAAAAGATCGAAGTCATCAAAAATGAAGTGCTGGGTGAAACATTGGTGCCTTTAGAAAAAGCTATTTGTAATTATGAGGAGTGTCTGTTTGGGAATTTCCTAGCTGATGCCATGGTTTTTGAGGTATGTAGGTTTTCACCTAATGAATTGTCATCCAAAACAAAAAATTTTTTCCTTTATCATTTTTGCATTACAGCTACTGTTTTTTAATAAAATATTATGAAATTTTTTTGACAAAGCCATGAAGCCACTGGATGTCGCTGACCTATCCTATATATCATCATCGTGTTTACCTCTAAAAACAATGATAATATTCATCCAAGCAAAAAATTAACAGGTATGCGCACTAGACTGGGCCAAAAAAAAAATGACTAATTTTGTTTGAAAAATATATCGAGAATGTCATTCAGAATAAAAAAAAATTTCTTGAAAATTTGAGCCCTTAATATTAATTTTAAGAGGTCTATCATCGCTATTTTTGATTTGTAGTCATAATTTGATGTTTTACGTTAGAACTGTCAAAACATTAAAGTAAAAAAAAATCCTTTTCACTTATTTTTATATAAAATTAAATTCTCTACAAAAAAGGTTAGACTGAAAATTTTCGTCAGACGAGCCGTTTCCGAGTAATTAAGCTTAATAAATCGATGTGTTTTTTCGATTTGCCCTTTTTACTTTGAAATTTTGTAACTAATTAATCAATAAATATTTAAAAAAGCTCACGTCGGATTCTTAAAGGAAATTTCATGTTCTACAAAAAAGGTCTCTTAACATTTTTGCCTAAATTTAATTCTTCAAAAGTTATTCACGAAGAAAAAATTGAAGTTTTTCTTCGATTTTAATCGTGAATAACTTTTGAAGAATTAAATTTAGGCAAAAATGTTAAGAGACCTTTTTTGTAGACCATTAAATTTTCTTTAAGAATCCGATGTGAGCTTTTTTAAATATTCATGGATTGATTAGTTACAAAATTTCAAAGTAAAAAGGGCAAATCGAAAAAACACATCAATTTATTGAGCTCAACTCGGAAACATTTTTAATCAGACCTTTTTTGTAGAGAATTTAATTTTATATAAAAATAAGTGAAAATGAATTTTTTTCACTTTAATGTTTTGACAGTTCTTACGTAAAACGCAAATTATGACTAAAAATCAAAAATAGCGATGATAGACCTCTTAAAATTAATATTAAGGGCTCAAATTTTCACGAATTTTTTTTTTGTCATTCTGAATGACATTCTCGATATATTTTTCAAAAAATAAAAAAGTCAATTTTTTTGGCCCAGTCCAATGCGCACAGTATATTATGTAATATCAAGCAAACTTTTTAACTTATTTAAAATCGCTTAGTAAGTACTTTGTTCTCATTGATTACTGACAATTCGGTTGGTATTGTGGTTTTTCTGGGGCATGCAGCCAGTTTAATGTACCAGAGCGAAGTTGACACATTAGAACAACTCCGCGAACTTGTCACTGCAGCGGCAGATGAAATCCGAAATCATCCGGTTATGATAGCAAGAGCGACAAATCATTTTCTACGGCTCTGTCAACTTTGTGTGGAACACTTAAGGTAGTTGTCGTGGTACAATTTTGTCAAAAATTTTTAGATTATACGCACCGTAAAAGTATACGAGCTTGTAGCTAAGTGATTCATAATTTGTTCGCAAGATTGTCTCCATGGAGACGTTACCTTTACGTAATACTTTCAAATATTTTCATAAGTTTTAATCCGGCAACGTCGCTTATGCTCAACCAATAGATATATTGAAGACTGAATCAGTCTGTTTGAATTTACTGCGGAAATAATATCTATACTCGCGTACAGCGTTGCCAAGTTGTTTTTATCTGACACAAATTGCAATTTCAACATGTTGAACTTTAAACGGTTATTTATAAACAATTGGACGGTCAAAAATTTTTAATTATTTTTTTTTTAAATCAGCAAAAATACATTAAAACACTGTTAGTTTTTTAAAGTTAGTTTTTTGAAAACTTCTGACAGTTAGTTTTTTCTGTATAACTAAGAAACTGGTACAGAACTACAGAAAGCCTATACAATCCATGTTAATTATCCAATTTTTAATTGAATTTATCTCGGGTTATAGACGGTCAATCGACTTCAAATTTTAAGGATATATGTATTGTCATGTCCTTAATAAGTATACAAAAATTTAAAATTTTCTGATGGTATGCTTACAGCACGACAACTACCTTAATGAAATTTAAAATCGACGGGAAAACCACGGAAACCTTGAGATACCTAACAATAAAAAGTACGTATCGTGTTATTTAAAGTACCTAAAAATAAAAAACAATTATCAACAAAGTATTCAATGATAACACAAATGTAAATTGTTAATGAGTGTATTGCTCACTGTGCAAGCGTATTTTGCGTTAGTTGTCATAGGTCAGGAACAACCAGTGGAGGCCCAAAATTTCTAATTTACTGATATCATCACATCACATAAAAATTTATCTCGTATTTATAGTATATGACTCAATCAAACCAAGAAAACTGGACACACGGATCCATAGCTTTCATGAATCCCAAAGGCTTCAGGAGCGACATAGATGTGGGAAGTAAATAGGACGAACAAAAAAACAATACAATATAAATAATAATTTTTTTAGACATAACTTATGGAGAACTAATTACGGCCCAGCCATTTGGTAACACCATTGACATAAGCGAAATACAAGGAAAATATATCGTGGAAATATTCGAAATTGTTGCTGGGAGAGATTTAGAAGCCAAGCATGGGAAAGTCCAGTTAAATATGTTACAGGTTTCAGGTAAAAAATATTTGCTTTACTTCAATATGGTAATATATTATAGTCTAAGATCCCAAGTAAGGTCGACCTTCACCCATCTGCTTACCAGATGAAAATTATATTTTATCAAATAAAATATGTTTCTGAACATAAACCAATAGGGTTGCCATAAAAAATATGATCAAGGCTAGCTATAATAAATAAAAAATTAAAACAAAATAATTAATTTTTTAAATTTCACCGACTTGCTTGCCAAATGAACGAAATTCCAATGGAAAGCATAAAACATACAGAATATGTAACAGCTAGGTTGCCTACCTTTTTCTGGTCCCTATTACCTGGTTGCTTTGTACAGGGTGATCCCCTATAATGTCGCCCCCCTTTAACTTTTTTATTTTAAGTGTCCCAAAAAATTTAAAAGTGTGGTTATGTAGGAACTAAAAATTACTTTTTTTCTACGTATAAAGAAAATTGGAAAATTGATCAGTATACAGGGAAAACAAAAAGTTTATTTTTTTCAATGGATCACCCTATATATGAATTTATTTTTCGATTCCTTGTAAAATTCTAAGCATATTTCATATATCATACCATATACCTAAATTCAACCGTTTCTGAAATATTTAAATTATTTTTAAGATAATAAGTTGAAATAGTTTGTCTTTCTCTGTCTGAGTACGCCATTTTTACTTATTTCACAACACTTATTGACATAATTTCACTATAGTAATTTATTTTCAATAAAAATTTTGGTATACTGAGGCTTCTTGATTTCTAACAGTTTAAAAAAACATTTAATGATGACATTTCGAATGCGAATATTTCAGAAACGGTTGAATTTAGGTATATGGTTTGTTATATAAATTATGCTCAGAATTTTACAAGGAATCGAAAAATAAATTCATATATATATATATACGGTGATCCATTGAAAAAAAATAAACTTTTTGTTTTTCCCTGTATACTGATCAATTTTCCAATTTTCTTTATACGTAGAAAAAAAGTATTTTTTAGTACCTACATAACCAAACTTTTAAATTTTTTGGGACAATTAAAATAAAAAAGTTATAGGGGATCACCCTGTACAAAGCAACCAGGTAATAGGGACCAGAAAAAGGTAGGCAACCTAGCTGTTACATATTCTGTATGTTGTATGCATTCCATTGGAATTTCGTTCATTTGGCAAGCAAGTCGGTGAAATTTAAAAAATTAATTATTTTTTTTTAGTTTTTTATTTATTACAGATAGCCTTGATCATATTTTTTATGGCAACCCTATTGGTTTATGTTCAGAAACATATTTTATTTGATAAAATATAATTTTCATCTGGTAAGCAGATGGGTGAAGGTCGACCTTACTTGGGATCCTCTACTATTATTATAGGTGTACAAGCCGTATTAAATGTAAATAACCCAAAAGGAAGTAGAGTGCAATCCCTTAAAGTCAGATGTGCAAATTGTCAAATACCCGTATATGAGGATATAAAAATTGACGAATTTTATAAAATTATAACACCATCGTTTTTAAGTAATGGAGGGGATAGTTTTGATATAATACCAGAGAAAATATTTAATAAATATGAAGGAAATATTGACATCGATGTGTTCAGGAATTATTTGAAGGTTAAATCACCAATTTTTGAGGAGATATGGGGTAGGGTTGAAGTAATTGGTGAATATGAAAGAAAGGTGTAAAAATAGACAATATTTTATATGTAATGACTATATTTTTTTAATAAAGCATTGATTTTATAGAAACTGCAGTTTAATTTACATATTCTTTGTGGATCCATGTAATAAAATAAAACATTTTATGTACAAGAGCACAGCGTAATATATTTCAATAGGTATCCTCAAAGCCATCGTTTTTTATTCACAGCCTGATAATAAATTTGATGTTTGCAATCCTGTAATTGCAACATTTTATTGTTTACATCTCGTAATAAAAGTATTGCGCAGAAAGCAATAAACCGCCTATGGAAAATTAGGAAGAGATTGTAATTGCAAGAAGTATTTTTTTATTGTAGAACTTGAGAAATAAACTTTTTACTGCGTAAAAAGCACTTGCTCCTTATTAAGGATAACTTTATATTGCCGTAAACGTCACATGAATTATATGTTTTTTTTGTTTAATTTTTATTAAATTCAAGATTTATTTAAAAATTTACCTAACACAGTAAAAAAATATTTGATAATTTTAACCAAATATTAACCAGATTTTATGTTAGTAGGTAGTTTGTAATTATAACAAACATTTTGTAGATTTAATACCAAAATCCTGTCAATAATTCAACCATAATTCTTGTAACTTTTAAAAAGGACACTATTTTTACAAACCCTTTTGTAGACCCAGTAACAATTTTGTTACTTTTAAGTATTTGTTTAAAATTGGGAACTTAAATAAAAAGAATTTTGATAAGAAATGTTGCTATATTAATAAATATTCTAAACAAAAAAATTAACACATACCTACATAAATGAACAAAAAAATAACAATTTCGAAATTTGGTACAATATAATTATGAGTACCTACTACTACAACACTTACTTATGTATTTCGTAACTTTAACCCACTTTACTGTATCCCCTAAATAAAGGTTTATGGGATCCGAATAACAATAATAACAGATTTCTGGTAATATTTTATAAACACTCATAGTTGCAGACGCTGAAGTCAGTTAAACTTGTCAGTGAGAAATGTTTTGAATGTAATTTTTCAATAAAATAATTTGTTAAAACATTAACAAAACTATCTGTAACTTTTGAAATCAACAAAATGTTTACAAAATTGCATACCTATTACCTTTCGGTAAAATATTTTTTCTACGACCACTATTAAAAAGTCACATTTCGTATTGCCATCGTTGCTTAGAAAATGAATCTTTTCATTGGCAAGGCAAAACACGAATGTAAAGTGACATTTCTGTGTAAAAAGTGACAGGTCTGTATGAAAAGAAATTGACAGCATCGTGACATTCGTTTCAAAATTTGTATTGTTTTTGTATATGTATGTTTAAATATCATTTAGAACACAATTAATTGTGTTTGTATAATAAATTCCATTTTTTAGTGCCTTTATTTAAATTGAGAAGGTAAGTTTATTGATTTTAAAAATCTTATACCTTAAAAATTAAAATATTAAGATGACAATATAATTCATTAATATTAGAACCAATAAAATGCCAGTATTCCATAGTGACGTATTTTATCACAGCGGCAATAATTTTTATCATCTTGTTTACACGTTACTATGAACTTTGACGTTTTTTTGATTTGACATTTGTTGTCATTTAAATACTGTGTTTGTTACCTAAATGATTAAAATAATGAATTATAAACTCTAAAAGATCGATGGGTTGGTGTAAACGATAATAAAGTTAAGGTAAGTTTGAATAAATAAGGTTTATTAAAGTCTTTTTATATTTTAAAGCACATTTTAATTTCAAATGTCAAACTAAAAATTCGTTAAATCCTAAAATTCATTATATTTTCTCACTAAATATAACTCGTGGTATGATTAATTATCGATGATATTTACTCATTAAAACCGAAGCAGCACATTTCACTCGTCCTGCGGACTCGTGAAATCTGCAGCTCGGTTTCAATTCGAAAATATCATCGATGATAATCATACCACTAGTTATATTATGGGTGAAAGTAATTTTAACAGCTGTCAAACACGTTTTTAGGTTATTTTGTTTTGTATTTGAATATAATAAAAAATAAAAGGGTCGTAGAAACAACATTGTGTTTTACTTGTAAGAAAACCTTTCTTCTAGCTCGTGTTAATGCACACTCGGCCTGACGGCCTTGTGAGCAACTTAAACACTCGCATGAAAAAGTCGCTTTTCAACACTTGTAAAACAAATAACTATTTTTTACTCCTATTACGGAATATGACCGTTCTAATATCAGTTTTTAATATGGAATGACACATGGGTGCAAATTGGGATTGGTGCTTTGATACAGTGTTTTTCAGAGCGAAATTCTCACTAGATGGCGCTATTTTCAGAATTCTTTATATATACCGGTATACCGGGAACATGTCTTAAAAGAGTAGAGGTAACCATAGACGACAGTAAATAAAATCGGTAAAACTGACATAACATCTGTGGCAGTATTGCAAAATTGAAATATTTTAATAATTTTCGATACAAAAAAGTTTCATTTCTATCATTCTTTTATATTCTGTGACCTCGTGTGTGTATCATTTTGTTCTGTTGTTTTTGCGTTATTATATTATTCTACAGTTGATTCTACATTCTGTTTGGATAATATTGTCAATAATAAATGTTATGTTATTATAATATATTTTTTTTACTCCCTCCTTTAAAACGCCCTTTATCGTACATGACACTAAGTAATCTTTTAAATACACATTGACAAGTTGTGGCTTTACAGGTTTTTAGTCACGGGCTGAAGTTAGTTTTAAGTTAGTTGACAGTTGTCAAATGTCATACAATCGTTAAAATAAAGTGCCTTTCTTGTAAAATAATACTAAATGTGAAAATTATTTTATTATCTCAATACAAAAATATTAAATAGTTTCTTAATATTTGAAAAGTTTATATGAACATTGTACTGACCTTCTAATTTGGCCGTCAGTAAACTATAACTTAAATTCGGGCACGGACTCCACTGTAAAGTCCTCATAAAACATTTCCTTTACTTTCACTGTGAAAAACTGTCAATTTTCAAGATACATTTCGATAACCTTTATAATTGTGTTTATAAAATATAAAAATGTGAATCTGAATGTGACATTTGACAGTTTCCCCTGTTGTTTCATAGATGCGCTCTAAAGAAATTTTTGATTTAAATCATTTTAAGATAATAATAAGTATTTGTCGTAGAAAAAGTATAGTATGCACCTCGTTTATAAACTTTTCTATACACTCATTAACTTAAGCACTCGCTCGCAAGCTCGCTCGTGCCTAAATTAAATTAGTGTATAAAATGGCGTTTATCAAACTTGATACATAATATACTATTATATCAAATGAGAGTTATTTACTTGCTAAATTTTATAACAATATATTGCTGTATAAAATGTAATAAAACATTTTATAATTTCGATTTGTTTTCAAACTATTTAACTACTAGGCAGTTTTAAAAAAGATTGAAATCTTCGAAAAAATATATTATTCGTTTCAAATAAACCGCCAAAACCTAAAACCAGAGCGGAATTCTCACTAGGTGGCGCTGTAACACGATATCACACGTTGCTTACTTTTATAATCTGTGATTGACATATATTTCTGAAAGTATTACAGAATGAATTGGTGGCGACATCTCTGTGTTTAATATCTAATAAATTTAGATCCAACCCCACTTTCTCCCAATTAAATTATTTTTCTATGGTATTTTTTGGAAACGTAGAAAAAGTTTAGTCTGAAACATGTTTGGAATTTCATATTCCGCTTTAGTGAAACCTTCAAACTCGCATTCGGCTCGTGTAACAAACTTTTCACTCGATCGGAATATACCGTATTCCAAACTTGTTAAAGAATATACTATTCCTTTGTTAAAATAATTACAAACCCTGGTTTTCTACAAAAAATTTGTTAAAATTTTACAAAATGAAATTAACAACCTACAAACTCATGCATGCATGTTAAAAAATCTGATTTTTATAACAGTGTACTGTACAGTTTTTAATGTTTTGTATCATAACGACATATTTGAAAACACTGTTTTATTAAAAAAAACTACATTTTTTCGTGTTCTGAAACAATAAAACCCATGTATTTGCACAGAGGCTGTTCATTATATTTCATTGCGGAATTTCTTACTCTACGTTTTGCGGAGGGTTGTTTCTTAATGGTCCCAGAAAGTGCGGGGTGTAGGCTTATCTGTATAAAACAGCCGCAACCCATAATAAACAGCTACGTTGCGACGTTTAACGCCACATTCATTAATATCAATATGTCTTGCCGGCTACATCGATGAGTATCAACGAATAACGTTCGCAAAATTGAAAATAATGATCTCTTACATTAAATTTTAATGTAACAAAAATTGTTCACTTTAGACAAATTATAATACAGGGTGGCTTAGCAAAAACCAAACAAGTTTTTGAGTCTTTGCGTTTTTTAAAATTGCTTACTGCTCGAAAACTTTTCCGTTTTGTTTTTGTTGGGCCACTCTGTGTATGAAAAGATAGAACTATTTAAATAACACATAGAAAAGCATTCTTAAAATAATAAATATTATGTAAGATGTCTATCATGTCAGGTATTAATTTATAACGTTCTGTTTTTGGCAGTTTTGGCCAAAAATTTCGTTCATGAAATGGTCTTGATTGACCTTGCGTGTGCAGCACATCGCACGCAATTGTTTCTTAACATTATTGATATCTTAATCTATTTTTCGATGACTGGTAAAATCTTAAAACCCAAAGTCAAGGGACTGAATAAAAATAAACAAACTGCATATTTTTACTAAATTTTTATACTACTAAAACTTTATTTGACAATAAACAAACTTATTATCGTTATTTAAGTGTTTTATAACTAAAGATGGGATATTTAGGTACTAAAAACTGAAAAATAGGTAACTAAAAAGGTACTAAAAAAAGCATTTTAGGTTAAAAAAAACAGCATTTTAGGTAAAAAAAAACATTCAAAGTTCAAGTTTCGTTTATAATTTTGTTTAGCCGCATACCCAAACACAGAACATACCCATAATAAACTATTTATATGCAATAAACTGTGTTTCACTGAGTGGCACTCACTACACAGAAGTTCTATGACAAAACA